GTGTGTGTGTGCATCACTCGTATATTATTAATAATTGCATGTGCAGTCGTATGCACTAGCAGTTACTTCCTGTAATATACTATTATTGTATCGTATCATTAATTATTGTTAAATAATTATCATATTATTATTATTATTATAACTAAAGCTATCTTTTTATGACTAGCTCCCGGATTTGAATGCTATAAAAACTACGAATACCTACATGTTATCAAAAATAAACGAAATTTCTTTTCAACGCAATAATGCCTTTGAAAAATTACCGACATTCTTTTTTTAGGCAGTAAACTATGCGAACAGGCTAAACGACAACATTCAGAATTTTTATTTCTTCTTTGTCTTAACTAAACTAACAATAATAAAGTACAAAAACAAAATGCCAAAATCAGGCACGAAGTAAAAAATATTTAAAAGCTATTAAAGCAAATTTTACGAAAACAATATTTCTTAGTGTAATATTTTGGAATTCTTAATTTATACAGCTTTTACAAAAGGTTGTAGAGCATATTAATATATKATGGACTAAAAATTAATATTATGATCAGAAATGCTATAAAATTCAATAAAAAGATTTTCTTTGAAGTACCTAATGCATGAAACAAAGTATGTGCTTGTAATGAATTGTCCTAGACTAAAAATAACGAATTTTTCATTAAAACCCGGATCCTAGTAATAATAATAAGGATGAGGAGTTTATGAGGATTAAATACTAACAGTTATAAGTAAAAAAAGAGATATCTATCTGCATAGAAAATATTAAAAATTTGAATAAAATATTTTTAATAACAGATATTAATAATTGCATTCTATTTTTGAAGCTACGGACACTTTTGAGAAACTGACACACACAACTGAATATACACTACCTACATCTGCTACAGTCAGTGTTTTAATTCGTTAAATACATGTATTTTTAATATAAGTTTGAAATTTAAAACAGATTTGTATAGGTCAACTCGCATGATAATAATAATATACGAATTTTAAGACAACTCCAAAATATTAACTACCTACTAAACTTCTTATCCCTAATCCAATATAACCGTAGAACAAAATCGTCGTTATTCATCACACGCTCTTGCATTTTAAAAAACCAACATATTGTTCATATTGTTATTTCAGTCATCTCAATATTATATAATATTATAAAATACGTGTACAACAAACTTTGAACGAACCAAATATTTCTCGATTTATTTAAGCCGACAAATATGAAGACTACCACAATACATATTCCAACAATATTATCATAATATTATCATTATAAATAGARATTTTACGAACTGTTCGATTTTCGAACCAAACTGGAAATTCCAAATAATCGAACCGAACCAAATATCTAATAGTTCCGTTCGATAATCGAACCAGAGAAATAAAAATAAAAGTCGATGGAATTGTTATTAAATAATTAATAATTTATAGGTTAATATCAGTTGTTTAATGTTTGCTTGTTTTAAATATTGATGTTTATCGCTTTTTCTTATCAGTTATCATCATGTTAATAATTAAAAATTAAAAATCTCATGCATAATAATCATTAACTATTAAAGTATTTAAAGTATTTAAGTAAATAGTAGTAAAATCTTTATTCAATAATTCTGAGGTATTGTGGCTAAACGATAAATAAATAAATAAATAAATATTAAATATTAAATAAAATAATATCCAATTTAACTTTTAATGTTCGATTCGAGTTCGATAAAATATTTGAAGAGTGCGGTTCGGTTCGGGTTCTATTAAAAGTGTGTAGGTTCGGATCTGTTCGAGTTCGTTAATTTAAAAAAAGTTCGGTTCGGTTAGGTTCGACCTTAAATATTATGGTTCGTAACATATCTAATTATAAAGTAGATAATAACCACTTTGTTGAGTTTCAAATATTATGGCGTTTTATTTCGACTTAAAACTATCTTTACAATAATTGACAAACAAAAATATAGGGTTTTCACCAATAATTAAAAACTCGTTTACCTATTATCGAATAAATTGATGAATAAATAAAGAATTTATATTAAAATTATATTTTTCATAGGTAGTGAGATAAATCAAATGACTAACGCCAAAAATTGATTCTTAGGTTGGTTTAAACGCTCTTAGACCCTTTAATAATATAAATGTTATCATTATGCAATAAGTTATCAATTTTTACTATCATTAAAAATACAATGAATTATAATCTCTAATTAATTTTTTTTTCTGTAGATTCATATTATGAAGGTACAAGTAATTATTGTATTTTTTTCGTGTAGTTTTATATATTATATACGATCTTTAGTTGTTATGGGGTGAATGCATTGTACACGAAAACACAATTCATAATATTTCAATTACAAAAAAGAGTATGGTTAATATTTTATTTTTTTAGAAAACCATTATATTATATTATATCACTTTTAAATTAGTATATTAAATTATCTACTTATAAACTACGAGAGTAAAATACAAAACAAATCTGAAAGCCGTTTAATTTTTTCAATTATTTTTATTTCATAATGTCGAAACAATATTTTATAGTCTAAACATATTATAAAAGTTTAATTAAAATAACAATTTATTATTCTACCTGCTAGAGTATTCCGAGAAAATAATAAACACGTAAACTTACCTGAAAACAAAATTATTTTTAAATTGCATAAAGCTAGAAAAACGAGAATTGTTTGTATGCTTATACTAAATTACAACGTTATAATAACAATAACTACAAATGAGAAGACATTTTAAAATACGCTTAAGGTTGACTCCTATAGAATCAAATTAAAGATTTTTACTCAAATTGTTCACGTTCAGCTACAATTCTATTAATAATTCTCATCAAAAAATTACCAATTATAAACTATAAGTGCCCAATTTTGTCAAAAAATTAAAAATATTTTATTAAAATTATTGTTTTCAATAATTTCAGTAATTAAAAATTAGATAATGAGATATGATTTAAAAATAAGAACTATGATCCAAAACAATATTAATTTAATATGCATTCAACATGCAATATTATTTGTCTCATAAGTAGGGCTCAAATTGAAATGAATCACACAACTCTTACAAATTTGTTCAAAAAGTCACAAATAACTTGAAACTGCAATTAAAAAAATAAATATTTATACCTAGTTTTGATATCACTATTAAATAGTGACATATATGTAAGGCATTCTCCGTAAAAAAGATACAAATGCATTAAAATGTTAGCCCCACTGATAAGTTCTAAGTCGTAGGTTGCAATATGTAAATTTGAATGCATTAATTATTATTTTTTCAGTTTTAATTACTTCTGATTATTGTGAACTCTGACCGTTTTATCAATAAATATAGGTTTAATATAATATGCAATTACTAAAAATCATGAATGTAGTTCTTATATTCTCAAATCAACTATTAATCATAATACTTAGTTCCTAAAAATTGTTCAAGAAATACGTGTTTATATTGACCATCTCCTTTTATTTTATTCTCATTTTCTTCGTTTTTATTTTTTTATTTTAATGACATAATATCTGGGTGAATACAACTTGTATCCAAATAACCAAACATTATTAATTTTATAACATAAATATTATGATATATAATTATGTGTGCGTGTGTTTATTTTGTATACGTGTTTAGATTATCCAATTAATATTTTAATAGAATAATGAAATATAATTTTAGACTACTGATTATTTTTGCTCAAAAAATAGATAGCAAAGTTTGTCTTTGATTATTACTATATATTTTGTAGAAGCAAAATATTGCAGGTTTTAGAGAAATGATAACACCAGGATATAATTTAATGTTATAATAGTATAAATATATTATAATACTATTATTGACCATAATTTTCATAATTTAAATCACCAAATCCTAAATTATTACTAATAATGTATTTTGTAAGAATTAACWAAAACATAAACCAAAAATATATATAGAGATATTCTGACTTGATACTTTTTATTTATGTTGTTAAAAAATAAATAAATAAATAAGTAGAAGTATTAATCATTCACAACATCTTTTATTTATTTTTATTTTAAATTACGAATACATGTTGTTACTTATAAGTATTCCATAACAATAATAATTGTAATATTGTTATAACTATTATAATACACCTATTATTAATATAGGAATTATTGCTATATCTTAAATTTGTTTTGTTTAAGGTTGGTTGTTATTCCTAAGTGTTTAATTTTAATTTTAACAGGATATTATAATTACACATTGTAACTCAAACCATTTACAATGCATTCACGTAATACCATATATTTCTAAAAGTATAATCAAATATGATATCTTTATATATTTATTATTTATTATAACTAGGGTATGTATACTATATACCTCAAGTGAAACTCCATACATATAAAATATCATTTTCTTTAAAATCATAATTTTTTTTTATGCTTATGAATAAAACGATAATTCCTTATATTATAACCCCATTAATTTTTTAATACTCATCAACTACAATCATAAACATTAAACAGTTCAATATTTATTGATTAACAGATGAAAATATATTTAAAAAACAAAAGTCCGTTTAATTTAATCATTTGGTTTGGCTGCTATATCGTATATTTTAATTATTATTGACTAAAAAAAAAGTTAGAGCAAAAGAAAAAAAATGTATTTCATTAAAACTTCGACGGAATAAATTATGTGAATGTTCATTAAGTAATTAGAAATAATATTCATTAATTAAGATTTTAATTTTTGTCAATAAGTTTGTACAATGAAAATTCATCAATGAATATTTTGAAAACTCTGTTGTTATTGTAATTTATTATG